ATTATCTTTCAGCGCTTTTTCCAAACCGTAATGGAAATAATGCCCATTTTCACACTCGCGAGTGATTGTTTTCTTTGGTGTTTTTAGAAGTGACCTAGCATCTCCGGGTAATTCATTACGACCATTTTCTTTTAATATATGCAATAAAGCCGTAAAAGATTTTTGGGTAATGTTATACTCAGTAGCCCATGTACACAACTTTTCATTTAAAGTTCTTTTTTCTTTACTTATGGTACTATCTATGATACAGTCTATATTTATATTTTCTACATGTAATACATTATCTACAACATCATCTTCTAAGTGGACCTCGTTTATTGCTTTATTTATTATATTAAGTGATCCTATTGTATTAAAAGTATCTTCATCCGTACATTCCGTATGAGTAGAATTTTTCATATGAAGAATATTTTGTTTACATGTAACAGACTTCATATGAAGCAATAAATGTCGATTTTGTTGTCTGCGAGATAAATCGCGTAAATTTTTTTTGTTTTGGGCATTGTAATTTCCTTATATTTAGCTGTTAAAAAAATATTTTTTGTTCAAAAAAGTACAAAAGCAGAACCTACATTATAACCTACATTGTAACATAATCTACATTTTTATTGATTTTGCAGATATGGCTCAGCTACGAATATATTTGTTATCATATTTCTTTATTGTTTTACAAGATTCTCGGCATATTCGACGAGCTATCCCACGCTAAATCGTAAGAATGCAAAATCAAGCAACCGAGAGAAAACACGACTGTAAGATTCAGGATGATCGATAGTCCGGTATTAGAAAATAAAAGATCTTATTGAAAAACAATAAAGATATATTTAACAAAACAAATTAATTCACATGAGTTTTCTGTTAAAAGGTATGCTCACCTTTCTAATCAAATAATGCACGCTCGCACCGTTCACTTATCAATTATTCCGTTTTTTATCATTTGCGAATTCTCCGAACCGAACGCACACTTACGCGGTCGAAAGGATTCTCTTTTTCCGTGTTTGTCTCTCTGCTTGCTCAATTCAAACTGACTCCGAATCAACCGCTTCTTATTTATTTTGCTTTCTTTTATACTCTAGCTGGCCTTTTATGTTTTTGATGTACAGGTGGCCTACCGACTAGCTTACCATATATGTATTTACATATCTCTATTACCTATACTCTTACACGACCATTTTATATTGTGCACCGCGCGATTTCATTTTCGAGATTCTTAAAGTGTACAAAAATTTACTTGAAATAAATTTAATTGAAATATAAGAAAAAATAAGGAAAGGAAAAACGCCAAAAAAAAGACCAGGACATGACCCCGGTTTAGTCCATTCATGAACAACCAGCGTTGTCTTAAAAAGTCAATACTTAATAATTATAATGTATATTTTTTTTACAACATAACATTATTTTAAATATATATACATACCTTATTTCTGTGGAAAATTTCTTTCTTCTGACACAGATGGAAATATGCCGTATTATATTTGATCGCAGGAAACCATACAGACGTGCACATCCCATAAAGGCACAGAATCAAAAGAGCGTCCAGAAAAGATATGTTACTCACTTGTTCAAAGTTTTTATTCTTCCTTGTTAATGGGAGCTGTAATATAAAATGACTATTATTTCACAATTTTGTCCTTTTTAATAATAGCTTCAAATGTATAAAATAAATAAAAATTAAAAATGCATAAAATAAAGCAGTACGTTTTTCATGCAAACTTGCTCATCAAATGCGCTTGTGTGAGAATTTTCTCTATATTTACAGAAAAACAAAATGCGCTGAAAAATGTTTATTGAATATATATTTATATACTTAATATACTATATAATCAAAAAGGGTAATTATGCAGAATACCCGCTTCACCTCCGATTTTAATAAATGAGCACTCAATCGACGCGTTTTCACTTAAAACGAAAGAATCTGACAGAAAAAAGCCGCGGTCTGCCTCGCGAAGCGAGTTATCGCACGTTAAAGGTAGAGAGTTTAGAGATTAAGATACTTGTCATATCCACACGATGCAGCGCTATGTGAACATACTTTGGTAAATATTTTTTAAGTCTTTTTTTAATGTGATGTTTCAAAACTATGTGTGTGCCATAAATTACCTGATAACATTTCGGAAGAGAACCATGTTGAATGGTAAGTACGATCTGATCTCCTGGTTTAAGAGTTTCATCACAGCTTCTTGATGCGTATAACTACTTGACCCGTACTAAACTTTTCAATCTATCCCGAGTTTTCGGAATCATCTCGTCTGGACGATGAATTTCTTCACACTAAACTCACCGAATCCATCGTCCAGACGAGAATGTGCATGGCGATGGCGAGAATGCTGCAATGCAGTACTGCCAGAAACGAGCGGCAGCATCACACAAATAGAACCGAGAACCGATGACGTCACCCTATCCGTGTGAGCTCGACCCGGTCGACCAATGGAAGAGAACGCACGTCTCCCTTCCACCGAGCCAACGCAACAGACGATAAATGCTAAGAAGTAAGTGTTTCTAAGGCAAGTGGCTGGAATATGAAAAATCCCGTGTTCGAGATTTGCTTCTCGCAACTTTCTTTTCTTTTTTCCGCATTTGTTTCTAACAGTGTAAATTATCAAATAATCTTTTTTTGCTCAAAAAATAATAGTTTATATTTATTAATAATATTCGCATATGTTAAAACTAACAATTTTTGAAATAATTCAGATTTGCTATTGTCAATAGAAAAATAAAGTTATTTTGCAATATTGCAACAAAGTGTAAATTTAACATATGCTATGTTCTTGCCACTCGCCTTATTCGTTTAGCCATGCTTGCTTTGACATTTATGTCTATTGACTCGAAAGATTTTACATACCTGTAAAACTTTTAATTATTTCTCAATTTACAATTAGTCACTCGCGTCCTGATATATTTTCTCCCGTTCAATAATTTCTATTCGTACATTCGGAGAATCCGAATAGTGAGATCAATAATGTACTTAATTTTCGTACACTCTAGTATTTCAATCTGAGATCGGTGTACATTTTAACGTCTCAAATGTAGACGAATTATTTCTATATAAAAATAATTAAAATTTTCACACCAACAATCTATGATATATGCTCCATATGCCATATTATATTTTATTCCATTTTTAATCATTTATTTTCATTTATTTTC